TCATCCAACAATAAACTAGCACGATACACAGTTTGTCGAACGGTTGTTATCGTAGCAACTGAAGACTCTGTAGGACGATCCTTAGTGAGGTAAAACTTGAAAGACGTAAACAGTCATTATTACCGTACGAAACAGTACGAGTTTCTAAGTAGCGGATCGAGATCCAACCATTATGGAACACAATGCCGAAGAATGCAAGGGAATCTTTCTGAGGAAATAAAACTGAAATTCAAGAGTAGTAGCCTCGAAAAGAATGTTTTACTTGAAGTTGTTATTCGAAAGTGACAACAAGAGCCAAATAGACTTACAGCGAGACTACTAAAAGTGATCCGGTAGCTGCGTAATTTAAGGCTGGAAAGCAGGACAATTATTTATGACAAATCTATGTAACGATTCGACGGATCCAATTGGTATATCCCGATGGTATCGTGAGAGTCAACGGCTGATAATGACTAATGGACACAACACGCATTAATTAACAGGAGAATTTTTCTACGACATAATGAAAATCCACGACCGTATAATGTACGGCCTTTTTTTCGTGAATGCTAATGTCGCCTGTATTAGCACATTAACGCAGCGCTGGCCGATGAAGTCGCGTTTCAATGCGCAACCACTGGTCACGTTAATCTACCGTAGTGATTCGCTGGTCTCCGCGTTTACACTGTCGGGGTAGCATTTACAAAGTATAGCTTATGCGAAATCAAATAATTCGCGTGTACTCCAACGATATATGAAGTTTGAATTTGATATCGTCGACTGTCGAGTCCAGTTAAAGCTTTTGACAATTGAAGGAAAATCTGTCGAGTTTTTGAATTCGATGAAAAAAAAAAAAAAATGAGAAAAGTTTTCTTTTTCGAAAAAAAAAAAAAAAAAACGATTTTCCGGGAATCCTTATGAATTTATCGTATCCCGTATAACGATGGTGAATTTTAATAAATTAAATGGCAACCCGACAGCTTTCCTGTTACAAAAAAAAAAAGAAACGGGCGCAGTATCAGTTATCCGTGCTTTACGCGAAGGGTACCCGCGATAGTAGTGATTATAAAGCGTGTGAGCTTGCAGAGCAGGGAGCCGTCGGGATAAATGTACGCTCTTCCTCGAGGGTCGGTCATAAAAGTTGCATTTTCTACCGGAGCCCCTCATGAATGTTATTTAACATTCAAGATGGCGGACAGAGAAGTTCAGACCGAAACCGCACGGAGCGAAGTTTTATTTTCTCAAGAATTTCGAGTCAGGGACCTTTTTCTTGCAAGAGGATGACGCAACTTGGATATCGATATAAATCAAAGAGACGACGGGGTGTCTGTAGATATTTGTGGACAAGAGACTTTGGAATGTCTAAACCCACGATACGAGTGTCACGTCGTTGCTGCTTGTACGACCAAAAGCTCTTGTACGCGACGTGCCAATTGTATGGTGGCTGCACTGATATTTCAACCGTGTCAACAAGCACGCGAATTTATCCTCCTCAGCGTCTCCCTGCAAGCTCGAATTCCCTTTGACTAACATAGGTATCGTCCTTGTTACCTGAAGTTCGAAGCACACCGGAAGCTTCCAAATTGGAGTGTCTAAACGGTTAAATGACCTCAAACGCTTGTCAACTTTGTATAAACCAATCGGTATGAACTTCTGTAGTTTCGAGACTGTTTGACAATTTGCAAGTTATATATACACGGTGGCGTTATTAGTTTATAAGCTTAACAGGACCTAAGGACTTCCCGCTGTATGTTGGGCTTACTATACTTTTTGTCTCCGTAAGTTTGCGAGATGGCAACGAGCGAATTTGATAAACCGGAAGTGACGTAATTGGCGGCGAATGATATTTTTCTGGATCAAATTGGCCAAGGGGAAAACACCAGTGTCTCTGTGAAATATACTGGGTGGCTCTGTAATAATTGTCTGTTAGCGCAGATTGGTTAGACGTTACGTTGGTGTTCGGTAAAGCGATAGGCGCCAGCTGTTTCCTATTGTGCGGCTAATTACATCAGGGATTCAGGGAGTGCTGGGCTGCACCAAAATTAACTAACCTACCGATGAAAGAACCGGCCCCGGTAAACGTACTGCTACATAATTCATAGTGCGAAGAACGTCGAACCCGTCTGCTTTCAAAGGTGCAAAATGAAAGTGACCCCCGGGAGATGGCAGAGTAAACAATGGCAAATGAGACGTTAAATTCAGTCTGAATATATTATATAATAATAATTATGCATTTTGAACGTTCACTAAACCAGTTGAAAAGTTTGATAATCGTCAACTATTTATGCACGAACTAATTGTTACCGTTCGAGAATCTTATAAGAATTTCGTAAAAAAAAATTATCCGCGAGGTTAGTCGATGTATTTTTTTTTCTTTTTTTTTTTTTTTTTTTTATAAACAGGAAAAATT